CACATATGAGATAACACTGCGGGTGGCATGACCTGGGGTCCCTCTCCACTCCAATCGGGGTTAATCTGGCAAGGCCAAGGTCACGGTCTTGGCGTGACAATCCAAGATAGCATGATACGGGGACAACCAATCCATCCCTAATATAACGTCAAAATCCACCATGTCTAAGAGCAATAAATCAACACGGGTCTCAAGACCCTCAAACACTACCACACAAGAACGATGAACTCGGTCGACCACTATAGAATCACCCATCGGTGTAGATACATAAACAGGAATACCCAAAGCATCACTAGACATAGTCAGGTAGGGTGCAAAATAGGACGACACATATGAATACGTAGACCCAGGGTCAAATAGCACTAAAGCATCCCTATCATAGACCAGAATAGTACCTGTAATAACTGCATCTGAAGACTCAGCCTCTGGCCTGGCTGGAAGAGCATAACACCAGGGCTGGGCCCCACCTCTCTGAACCATATCTCTGGGACGATCGGCTGCTGGCTGGCCTCTACCTCTGGCGGTCCGAGCTCCACCTCTATGATCTCTACCTCCACCTCTATGGCCTCTACCCCCGCCTCTAGCTGGCTGGGCGGCCTGTGGATCACCTGATGCCTGAATCATAGGACGAGGACCCTGCTGCTGAGAGCTGTCAGAAGCTCGAGGGCAATACCTGGCAATATGTCTCGTGTCGCCACACGTGTAACAAGCCCTCGGCTGCTGAGAATAACGGAGTGGTGGTGCGCTGATAGGTGCTGATGGTGAACTGAAAAGCTGCTGGTCAGAAGACTGCGGCTGAGAGCCACGACCACCTGAAGTACCATGTAAGACCTGTAGGGCTGACTGAAAGGGTCTCGGAGGATGGCCTCTACCATAAGAATCCCCACCTCCAGACGAGGTACCACTGAATCTACCTGCATGACGGGGTCTCTTGTCTGACCCATGACCACCTCCCCATGCAAGAGCCATCTCAACTCTACGGGCCGCATTGGCCGCCTCCTGAAAAGAAATCTCACTACCAGCTCCCATAGCCATCTGGAGACGGATCGGCTGAATCAATCCATCAATAAACCTCCACACCCTCTCCCTCTCGGTGGGGAGTATAACAACGGCATAACATGCCAGATCAATGAACCGAGTCTCATACTGTGTGACTGTCATAGAGCCCTGCTGGAGGCGCTCGAACTCCCTGCGTAGTGCCTCCCGCTGAGTAACTGGCAGAAACTTCTCCAAAAATAACTCCGCAAACTGCTCCCATGTCAATGCTGGAGACCCTGCTGGTCTAGATAGGCAATAGTCCCTCCACCAAGTCTTAGTGGACCCTGCAAGCCGGAAGGTGATGAAGTCGACCCCATTGGTCTCCACAATACCCATAGTCCTAAGGATCTCATGGCAGCTGAATAAGAAATCCTGGGGATCCTCTGATGAAGCACCGCTGAATGTGGTGGTGAAGAGCTTGGAGAACCTATCAAGCCTCCACAAAGCATCTGAGGACATAGCTGCTCCATCGCCGGTCTGAGTCACAATACCCGGCTGAACTGCCACCGCTGGCTGAACCACTGAAACCTGTGCCTGGGGAGCTACCTGCTCCGGAGTACGTGTAGCAGGAGTCTGAACCCCTCCTCCAGCCTGAGAAGTGGCTGGTGCTACTGGAAGCAAACCCGCTCTAGTGACGCTCTCCACAAAGCCTACCAATCTGACCAGAGCGTCCTGAAGAACTGGGGTTGCTATGAACCCCTCTGGGACCTGAGCTGGGCCCACCGGAGCTGCTGGGGCTGGAGCCTCCTCATCATAATCAACATGAGGCTCCACCTCTGGGACTGCCGCTCGGGGCTGAGCTCTGCCCCGGCCTCGGCCGCTGGCACGACCTCGGCCTCTGCCCCTCGCAGGAGCTGCTGCTAGGGGGTTAAGGCTGCTACGCGGTAGAAGAGGAAGCATGTGTTCTCGCCATCTACGAAAGAACAGAGTAGAAAGACAATCAGTATTTGAGAAACAGAATCGCACGACAGGAAAGAACAAAAGTAAAACTTTTCCTAACTCCGTAGCCTCTAGGGGATAAATATAGATGTCTCCGTGCCGATCCCTCAGACTCTACCGAGGTTGTCCGTGAGTTGTGAGACCTATGTAACCTAGTGCTCTGATACCAACTTGTCACGACCCGGATTTCCTACCCTCGGGAGTCGTGATGGCGCCTACTAATAGGAGCTAGGCAAGCCAATTAATTTAACACTCTCTCAACATCATTAACAGTATAAAGAAGAACGAGGCAATTAACATAAAAGCGGAAGTCTCGAAACATAAATAACTGAAACCAAATGCGGAAATTCAAATACACCTCTACCCAGATCTGGTGTCACTAAACTCACGAACTTCTACTGAATGCTAAAAACAAAGTCTGAATAAGAATACAGTACTGTCTGATCCAATACAAGGGAAATCAAACGAAAGACAGAGATAAGAGAGACTCCGGGCCATGCGGACGCCAGCAAGCTACCTCGGAAATCTCCGGACTGAAGTAAGCTCCCAACGCTCCTACTGCTGACCAAAGGCTCCTACTCCGGTACTATGATCTGTGCAAAAAAGCACAGAAGTGTAGCATTAGCACAACCGACCCCATGTGCTGGTAAGTGCCTGGCCTAACCCCGGCGAAGTAGTGACGAGGCTAGACAGGACCTACCAAAAACAACCTGTGCAGGTATATATATACAAAGGCAACAGTAATAACAACAGAGAATATCGACTAAAAAGGGGAAGGGGGCATGCTCGGGGAAAATACAGCGAATACAGATATAACGACGAAACTATCTCAATACCATAGCTCATATATAAGTGGTCGGCGCGCCACACGATCCCATTTCTTAATTCATAAGTGGACGGCGTGCCACACGATCCCATTTCATAATATATAAGTGGACGGCGTGCCACACGATCCCATATTATAGTATATAAGTGGACGGCGTGCCACACGATCCCATATTTCAGTTCAAAATATCTGACTTTGTAAAGAAGGCCCCGTTAGGGGAATTCGACAACATAACACTTTAACCCGGCAAGGGTACAACTAACAGCCCAAATATCCCGGCAAGGGAGAGTACATAATAATAGTCTACACGTCCCGGCAAGGGAATAATCACAACTCCTCCTCTTTTAACTCACTTCTTTCTCAATTATCACATTCTTGTTCGAGCCAACGCTCCAAAATATACCAACCACGATTCTTCCTCAACCGCTCACATTATATGAAGTTTATCAATTAAACAAGGAAGTTATGTCACATCATTCGAGTTAAAAGCAATTAAGACCCTCGGTCATGCTAGACTCCGGTGCATAGACGACCGTCACCATGCCTATACACCGTACTCCATATTTAGCAAGTAGATAACAACATCCTAATCCTATACCCTCAAGCCAAAGTTAGAACAAACACTTACCTCAAAGCCTTGAAATCCACTTAATCCTCAACTATTGCTTTACCTCGCGGTTCCACCTCCAATTCGCTCGAATCTAATCACAAATTGCTCAATTACTTTAATAAACATTATATGAATCAATTTGAATGCATAAAATGAGTTTCCCAAGTTTTTCCCAAAAATTCCAAAATTGCCCCCGGGCCCACGTGGTCAAAACTCGAGGTTCAAACCAAAATCTGGTTACACATTCCCCCACGAGTTCAAATATATAATTTATTTTGAAATCGGACCTCAAATCGAGGTCCAACTCCCCAATTTATAGAAAACCTAGGTTCTACCCAAAAATCCCAATTTCACCCATGAAAATCTTTGATTTCAAGTGGAAAACATGTTTAATAATGGTAAAGATTGAAAGAATTGAGTAAAAATCAACTTACAAGTGATTTGGGATGAAGTTTGCTCTTGAAAATCGCCTATGGTGTTTTGGGTTTGAAAGAATGGTGAAAAGTGATGAAAATTTCGACTAAGTATGAAATTTGCTGGGCCGCGGGTATGGGAAATGCGAAGCTGGGTTCGCAATTGCGAACCCAGCAGGTCTGGGAATTGCGAGATTTTAGTTCGCATTTGCGAACACTGGGCCTCAATGCAGACTTCGCATTTGCGAAGTAATGATCGCATTTGCGATCTGGGCCCCCTTCGCATTTGCGAAAGATTGATCGCATTTGCGACAGTGCCCCATTTTCCCAGACTTCGCAATTGCGAAGCAGTGCTCGCATTTGCGAGTCTTCCCTTCGCATTTGCGAAAATTGCAGAAGCCAGCATACCAGATTTTTTTAAAACATGAGAAATGCAATCCGATGCCTATCCAAAACTCACCCGAGCCCTCGGGTCTCCAAACCAAACATGCACACGACCTCAAGAATATCCTACGGACTTACTCGCGCGATCAAATCGCCAAAATAACATCATTTACATAGAATCAAGCCTCAAGGCACATGATTTTTCATTATAACTTCATAAACTTCAAACTTTAGATATTTAGGTCTGAAACACGTCAAATGACGTCCGATTTCGACCAAACTTCACAGAAAGTGCTTAACACATATTTAAGACTTGTACCGGGCGTCGAAACCAAAATACGAGCCCGATACCATAGTCTTTTAATCAATTTTCATTTCTATTTTCCTTAATGATTTCAGAAAAACAATTTCACAGAAAAATTAATTTCTCGGGCTCTCGACCTCGAAATTCGATTCCGGGCATATGCCCGAGTCCCATATTTTTCTACGGACCCTCCGGGACCGCCAAATCACGGGTCCGGGTCCGTTTACCAAAAATGTTGATCAAAGTCAACTTTAGCAATATTAATATCAAAATTCTCCAAAATTTTCACAAAGTTCACATATTTCAACATAAAAGCTTTCCGGCTTCGCGCTCGGACTGCACACGCAAATCGAGGCAACTAAAAGCAAGGTTTTCAGGGCCTCGGAAGCACGAAAAGAGAGAAATCCGGTGAGGACCCTTTGGGTCGTCACACCATTATGGATTCAAATGTAGCTGATTGTGATGATTCATACTTTTCATTAGTTACAACAGAGCCATCAACATCATCAGACATATGGTTGATGGACTCGACTTGTAGCTATCATATGTGTCCCAACAGGGACTGGTTCGTGGATTTTCAAGAAGGAGAATATGGAGTCATCCAAACAGCAGATAATAACCCTCTTACCTCATATGGAATTGGTTCAATACGATTAAGGAACCATGATGGAATGATCAGAACACTAACAGATGTTCGATATGTACCGGGTTTGAAGAAAAATCTCATCTCTGTGGGAGCCCTAGAATCAAAAGGGTTCAAAATCATTGCAGAGAATGGAGTGATGAGAGTATGCTCCGGTGCACTAGTGGTAATGAAGGCCAATTGGAAGAACAATAACATGTACCGTTATCGCGGTAGTACAGTTATTGGGACAACGATAGTGACATCCAGTGACGAAAAAGAGGCAGAATCAACCAGGCTATGGCACATGCGTTTGGGACATGCTGGAGGAAAATCCTTGAAAACTCTATCAGATCAAGGATTGTTAAAAGGAGTAAAAACTTGCAACTTGGAGTTTTGCGAGCATTGTGTCAAAGGGAAACAGACAAGGGTTAAATTTGGTACAGCGATCTATAATACTAAAGGCATTTTGGATTATGTACACTATGATGTTTGAGGTCCTTCCAAAACACCTTCATTGGGTGGGAAGCACTATTTTATAACCTTTGTTGATGATTTTTTCCCGACGAGTGTGGTGTATACAATGAAGAGGAAAGATGAAGTGTTGGGAATTTTTCTCAAATGGAAGACGATGGTGGAGAATCAAACAGGCAGGAGGATCAAGTGTATTCGCACAGACAATGGAGGTGAATACAAAAATGATCATTTCAATAAGGTCTGTGAAAATGATGGCATCGTCCGACACTTCACTGTCAGACATACACCACAACAGAATGGAGTGGCAGAACGTATGAACCGGACCTTGCTGGAGAAGGTACGGTGTATGTTGTCCAATGATGGCTTGGGCAAAGAATTTTGGGCTGAGGCAATTACATATGCATGCCACCTCATTAATCGTCTACCATCTGCTGCTATTGATGGCAAGACACCATTTGAAAAATGGTATGGAAAGCCTGCTGTAGATTATGACTCTTTGCATGTGTTTGGCTCAACTGCATCTTATCATGTGACAGAGTCAAAATTGGATCCAAGGGCAAAGAAGGCTATTTTTATGGGGATTACTTCTGGAGTCAAAGGATACCAATTATGGTGTCCTATGACAAAGAAAGTAATATTCAGCAGGGATGTTACCTTCGATGAATCTGCTATGGTAACTAAGGTAATAAATGAAGATACCAAACAAGATGATGGTGCTTCTAAGCAGGTGTAGTTTGAGGGAAAATTTATTTTTCCTACACAAGAAGTAGAGGAGGAAACAAATGAAGATCATCCTCTGGAAGAAAAGCCAGTTGAGAGGGAGGTTCCAACTCAGGAACCTCAACAACAACTTGAATCAATAGCAACCAGCATGCCAAAAAGGACAATAACAAAACCTGTTCGTCTCATAGAGACGGTGGCTTGTGCCGCCTCAATTGTAGCTGATGATGTTCCTACCACTTATAAAGACGCAGTCCAAAGTTCAGAAGAAGACAAGTGGAGGATTGCCATGAATGATGAAATACAGTCCCTTCATCAGAATCATACATGGAGATTGGCCAATCTCCCGAAGGGAAAGAAAGCAATTGGGTGCAAATGGGTATTTGCAAAGAAAGAAGGATTTCCTAACCAAGAAGATGTTCGCTACAAAGCAAGATTGGTGGCCAAAGGATATGCTCAAAAGGAGGGAATTGATTACAATAAAGTGTTTTCTCCAGTTGTAAAACATTCCTCCATTAGAATTATGTTGGCTTTGGTAGCATAGTTGGATTTGGAACTAGTTCAGATGGATGTAAAAACTGCATTTTTACATGGAAACTTGGAGGAGAAAATCTACATGACTCGGCCAGAAGGATTCAAAGTTGCTGGAAAAGAAAATATGGTGTGCAAACTTGAAAAATCATTGTACGGATTGAAACAATCTTCTAGATAATGGTACACAAGCGATTTGACAAGTTTATGTTGCAGCAAGGGTACAAGAGAAGCAAATACGATCAGTGTTTGTATTTGCGCAAGCTTGAAGATGGTTCCTTTGTATATCTTCTCCTATATGTTGATGATATGTTGATAGCTTCCAAGAATTCGGAAGAAATTGATAAGTTGAAGATTCAACTAAAGAAGGAGTTCGAGATGAAGGATTTGGGTGAGGCAAAGAAAATTCTTGGCATGGAGATAATAAGAGATAGACGTTCAAAGAAACTCTGTTTATCTCAAAGGAATATTTGAAGAGAGTACTACAACGTTTTGGCATAGATGAGAAGACTAAGCCAGTTAGTACTCCACTTGCTCCCCATTTTAAGCTAAGTACTACTATGTCGCCAAAAGATGAAGCTGAGCGAGAGTATATGTCAAAGGTACCATACGCAAATGCTGTTGGTAGCTTGATGTATGCAATGGTCTGCATGAGACCTGACATTTCACAAGCTGTTGGAGTTATTAGCAGATATATGCATAATGCAGGAAAGGAGCACTGGCAAGCTGTGAAGTGGATTCTACGGTATATTCATAAAACTGTAGATGTTGGGTTAGTTTTTGAGCAAGAAGGCGATCAATCTGTAGTTGGATATTGTGACTCGGATTTTGCGGGTGATCTGGACAAACGAAGATCAACTACTGGTTGTGTGTTTACTTTTGCAAAGGCACTAGTTAGTTTGAAGTCTACTTTGCAGTTAACAGTTGCTTTGTCTACAACAGAGGCAGAGTACATGGCCATTACAGAGGCTGTGAAGGAGGCAATTTGGCTTCAAGGGTTGCTAAAAGAGCTTGGTATTGGACAAAAAAGTATCATAATTTTTTGTGATAGTCAAAGTGTTATTCAATTAGCGAAGAACCAAGTTTATCACGCAAGGACGAAGCACATTGATGTTCGGTATCATTTCGTACGAGAAATCATTGAAGAAGGTGGAGTCACGGTGAAGAAAATTCATACTACAGAGAATCCTGCTGATATGCTGACAAAAGTGGTGACTGCGGTCTAGTTTCAACATTGTTTGGATTTAATCAACATTGTTGAACACTGAAAATTGAAGATGAAGACACAACCAAAATTTGTTATTGAGAGAAAATTGAAGATGTGGAATTTTGCCAAGGTGGAGATTTGTTGATTGTCAAAAGTCCCACATCGGTGGGTGACAATTATTGTTGGGAATTTTTCCCTATAAAAGGAGGCCTAATGTTTAGGATTTAAACACACCTCTCATTTGCCTTCTTATCTTCTTAAGGCATTTCTATCTTCTCTCTTTAGTATTAATTCACTTGTATTTTTGGAGTGGAATAAAATATTGGTTGTGTCCGAGGAAGTAGGCAAAATTGACCGAACCTCATAAATTCTGGTGTTTCTTTTATTGTTGCTTTATTGTCTTATTTATTATTTGGTGGCTGTCATAATTTTTGGTATAGTAGTTGTGACTCATTCACATTATATACATTTGACTTCCGCAACAATAATATGGGACCTAAGGTGAAAATAAAAAGCGACGCCTTAAATTTTTTTACTTATTTTTTTTATTCTTATAATTTATCGAAATCTAAAGAAATTATAGTCAGTTTTAGTTATAAGCAATGATCAATTTGCTTAATCTCTCTTGTGTTATCATGATGAACTTTATTGATTTAGTTTTGAATTTATTTTTAAACCGAGGCAACTAATATAAAAATTATTAACGGTAATTGAATTAATACTTTTTACCTGATTGAGTTTGTCAATTAGAGTATTCTTCTACTTATACAGTTTCTCTTAACACTTTTAATTCTAACTATAAGTTGAAATAAATAATATTGTAGTAACTACTATGCTTCAAGAGTCATTCAATGCTAAGGACGAATTTTAGTACTGTAGTTACTTATCAAAGTAGCTTGAAAGGTAGGGGTAAAGTCTGCGTACACACTACCCTCCCTAGGCTCCACAGTGTGGGATAATACTGAATATGTTGTTGTTGTTGTTGTTGTTGTATTATACATATTGTTTATAATTTTTGGGGCCCTAAATATTCCGGGGCCTAAGGCCATTGTCTTAGTGGCCTTAGGCTCCGGCCGGCCCTGCATTTGATTAATAATAAAGAGATAATATGTGTGGCATTTGCACAAGAGCTCTGTTTTGAGACCACTATTTATGTTCGTATATTAAAGAAGAGTGCCATATTTGATTAATTATTAGAGATTATTATTTGATCCAATTATATATCTGCTATGATCTTATTTTAATAAACTCTTGAATGATTCTTTTGAGTTACACAACCAAAACCTTAGCATATACGTAACTACATATAAGTACAATACAATATTGTTACAACTAGGTCAGGAAATAAATAAGATGCCATGGCTAGGGAATGCTTAGTGTGACAGGCAAAAGACTGTGATGAAATTAAATTAATAAATAAGATGCCATGGCTAGGGAATGCATAGTGTGACAGGCAAAAGACTGTGATAAAATTAACTTTAATATAAAAAGTGAATATAACAACCACGTCACCCTATTATTTAAAAAGTATAGGCTGCATTATTTCTGAAAATTTAAGAGGTATGCTGAAATTTTCTCAGGGTCATTTGGTTTGCAAATAAATTACATCTAAATTATAATACAAAGATTAAATAAAGACCAGTATTTAGTAGATATACTTTATTGGCAGATGCTTGATTTATTGAACTAAAAAAATAAGACGTGTAAGGTATACTACAAAATATGTGTTTTGTTTAAATTAGATAAATATTTTGGATAGATCTTTATTTTCAATTTTAATCTTCGCTTTCGTAGAAGACTTTTGGAGAAAAGCTTGGGAGAATAGTAAATGCGTCATTTTATTACTTTTATTCCAAGATTACTGATCATGAAATGGTTATCCCTCATAGAGTTTGGTATAAAAATATATATACCACAATTATAGTATAAACAATTACGAGAGCGCTAACCCGAAATTAAAAGCTTTACAAAACGTGGCATAACAATGCTTTTTTGGGAAATAACCACATTTTTATGTTTTAAAATTACAAAGTTTTAACTAAATTAATATTGTTATAAATAGAATTGTATTTATGGTGAATGTCTATATTTAGAGAGATTCTAGGGTTCATTGCTTGGTGGCTAAGTCACCCTCTCCCTATAAATAGAGGGTTCTATTCCATTGTAATTCATCCCAAAATCAATAAGAATTCTCTCCCTCTACTTTTCTCTGCAATACTCTTCTTCTTCTTTTATTGTTTTATAACACGTTATCAGCACGAGACTCTAACCAAGTGAGTAGAAGCTTTGGGATTGAGCATAATGATTGTCAATTGTTCCATGAACTTCCTTCATGATTAAATTCTGGATTTAAGGTAAGTATCTTACTTTATTTTTCTCTTTTAAATTCTTGAAATTCTATAATTTGATTTTATATACAAGCAAAGACAACAAAGTTTGATTATAACTCTAATGGAGTTTGAAAGAAATTATAACCACCCAAAGTGGTAAAATTTCTATGTCTTTCCATGATCAAATTTATTATGGGTACAAAAAGTGGAAACCCGTTCCATTGAATTTGC